TTGGTAGAGGAGGAGAAAAGAAGACGGAAAAGGAGCAGCCAGTAGAATAAAAGTAAATTTATGGGTTTTTCACATAGAAGTTAAGAGAAAAAGGCTGCTTCAAGACAGCAGCAGTAATCAACTATTCCAAATGTTGCTGAAAGGTACAGTGAGTTAAAGACTGAAACGTAACTATTTGGTAACTGGAGACCTTCAGAAGAGCCATTTCATTCATGAAGTCATGAAGAAGGAAGGCAGGTTGGAATGTGTTTAAGAGTAAATGGGTATTCCCGGGGACTCCAAAGTCACCCCAGGAGATGGAAACCACTGGAAAATTTCAGACTGGAAGGTCCCTAAAGGGAAGAAATGAGCCATCTAACTTCATGTGCTTGGAACCTAGCACAATTTTTTCTACGTGATGAATATGCAATAATTTATTTCTTGAAGTTAATCAAATTAGATGTGGCTTTTGTCCACTGGAATCTCCTTAAAGAAAAGAAATGACCCATCTAACGTCATGTGCTTGGAATCTAGCACAGTTTTTTCTACGTGATGAATGTGCAGTAATTTATTTCTTGAACTTAACTGAATTAGATGTGGCTTCTGTTCCCATCCTCAGAGAATTACATTCTAGTTGGGGAGGTAACAAAAAAATATAGCATGAGTGTATGAGGAGTTTTCTGTAAATGCAATCCGGACTACATATTAAATATGGCCTCAAAATGGGTACATAATCCTGAAGCCAAAACAATTTTGTAAGATACTTGGAAAACCACTCTTGGACATTTAGGGATAATCAAGAGCTTTCAAGTGTTGCCTTAACCAGAGGATAAATACTATATTTAACTATTTATTCTTGCAGTCAACTGTTAGTCATTTCTTCTTTAGCAAGGGTTAGAAACTAAAATGCATACACAGGCCAAACTGGTAACAAAAATAAGTGAAATGTTCAGGTGACGGCTGCAATAAGCTGATGACATCATGGCACATCTAGAGGGGCCAGGCACTGCTGATTTCCAACAGATTGACAGCACTCTGGAAAACAGGCTTAAGGATGAAAATACAGATTTTCATATATCCCTAAATTTTTCGATGTTGATAATTTGTTTAGTCAACACCTGCACAGGCACACATGCACATACACATGTACATATCCATTGCAGACTAAACAAAATACATCTGCTGGTAAAATTTAACTTATGGACTGCTGGTTTGTAACCTGTATTCTATAGAAATTTCCACAGTTTTCAGGGAGGTCTCAATTTCAACCCAGTCTTAGCTTGCCTGATGACAGGTGCTAAGACCCTCTGAATCATCCTTACAAATAACTCTGCTTTGATTCTCAGAAATAGTGTAAATGTTCTCTGATGTCAAAACCAACAGAGCCTCCTATAATTCCCACAAGAAGTGTTTTCTAGCCCAAAGTACTTTATTGGTCAGAATCTCTACTTTCTTAGCCATCTTCATATATGCACAGAGGAGCTTGAGAGCAGTATATTGTCCCTCATGTTTCTGTGTGAAGAAGCTGAAACTCAGAGAGGTTATGTAACTTGCCTCAAGTCACACAGCTCAGTGGAGACAAATCTGTAACTGGAGTTCTTCTCATTTCAAATCCAGTCCTCTTTCTACTATACTTCAATTGCCTTTCACTTCTGGGGGTCTTGTTACTTTGCTACATGGCTGACTGAGGTCTCATGTGTAGTGCAGAGTTGAATTCAAGTCAACATGCCTGGAGTATCTATTATGTACAAAGCTATGTGGGAGTCACTGCAAAATATGTAAAGATAAACAAGACACAGATCATACTCCCAAGGAGCTTATACAATTTGGAAAGATAGCACAGAAACAACTAACTGTTGTTTGTTTATTTGTTTTTGAGATAGTGTCCCGCTCTGCACCTAGGCTGGAGTGCAATGACACAATCTCAGCTCACTGCAACCTCCAACTGTGGGTTTGAGCGATTCTCTTTCCTCAGCCTTCCGAGTAGCTGGGATTACAGGAGATTGCCATCATGCCCGGCTAATTTTTTTTGTATTTTTACTAGAGACGAGGTTTCACCATGTTGGCCAGGCTGGTCTCGAACCCCTGATCTAAGGTGATACGCCCGCCTCGGCATCCCAAACCGCTGGGATTACAGGCATGAGCCACCACGTCCAGCCTACAACTAACTATATTTTTAAACAACATGGAAATAATGGAAACACAGAAAAATCAGGAGTTGGGTTAGGTCTAGGCCAATCATGCTTTGTTCATTTTTTCATTCACTCATTCTTCATTAAGTTGGTGCTCAAGTATTTATTGAGCACCAACTTTTTGTTAGACACAGAAAAATATATGGCAATAAACGAGAAGTAGACATTTGTTAGCATAAATAATAAAAGTTAAAAAAAAAGTTAGAGAAAGGGGAAATTTATTGAAAGGGTCCTTTCTTTGCCTACGGTCCACAGTGCTTAGCATTGTGCTAAGAACATAACTGTGGTATCCATTAAACCTCCCTATAATATTATGCTCAGGTATAAGTAGCAACCTAGTAAGAGCTGCCTGGCATTCATGGCTAGAGATCTAGAGATTTGGGCTGAGTAACCTCTATGAACAGGCAGATAGTTGAGGTTAGGACATAGGAGGTATAATGAATCAATGACATGTTAGTGACAGCTCAAGACAACCCTAAAATAAAAGATTGGTGTCCTGCTAAATTTTCACTCTCTTTTTTTTTTTTTTTTTTTTTGAGATGGAGTCTCACTCTGTTGCCCAGGTTGGAGTGCAATGGCACGATCTCGGCTCACTGCAACCTCCACCTCCTGGGTTCAAGCGATTCTCCGGCCTCAGCCTCTTGAGTAGCTGAGATTACAGGTGCTACCACGCCCGGCTAATTTTTGTACTTTTAGTAGAGACGCGGTTTCCCCATGTTTGTCAGGCTGGTCTCAAACTCCTGACCTTGTGATCTGCCCGCCTTGGCCTCCCAGAGTGCTGAGATTACAGGGAAGAGCCACCGCGCCCGGCCTAAGCTTTCTCTTGTTGAGATTAAATGGCCCTATATTCTTGTACTGGTGAAGGAAAATGGCTGCCTCTTACGACCCTGTATCAAGGTCATAGTTTACAGAATTGCTTAAACGACCCTTCTTGCTTTATGTAACCAATGTCCCTAATTTTATTCTTCCCTTCATCTTTAAATCAAGAACACAAGTCAGCCATCAGCTTTCAACTGCCAACCCTAAAAACCAACTTGAAAGCACACTTCTACTATGTGACTGTTCCAGTCATGTTGCCAACTCAGCCCAGAGGCAAGATATTCAAGCAGATGTTCTAAGGAAGAATAAATAGGGAAAGTGGTTCATATCAGGGGTGTATTTCTTTCTTGTCTTTTTTGGTTTATTGTTTAAAAAGTTATCACCCAGATAAATCCCTCATGATATTGCCTTTAATTCTTCTTTTAAATTTTTATTGAGTCCCTACTATCTGACAGCCACTGTTCAGTATGCTGTGGATAGGGCAGTGAGCAAAATAGATGATGTCCCTGCTCTTACTGAACTTATACTCTAGTGGGAGACTTACTTTGTCACAGAAACAAATACACATATTAGATTAAATTGTGATCTGTGCTGTGATACAAATAAAATGAAATGAGGTCATATAGAGTGCCTGGACTGTGGGAGTTACCTTAATATGCACGATAACGGAAAGCTTTTCTGAGATATGTAGGATATTGCAGCCCATCATGGGTATAATCAGAAGGAAAAGGAAGTGCAAAGACCTTGAGGTGAGAGAGATCTTAATATATTGGAATGAAAAGGAGGTCAGCATAGCTACAGCAGTGTGAACAAGGTGTTTACAAATCAAGTCAAAGAGATAGGCAGGGGACAGGTGGATCTTGAGGGCCTTGTAGATAATAGAAGACAATTTGGATGCTAACTGCAGTGGGAAATGACTGAAAGGTGTTCTGTTCTGTTTTGTTTTGAGACAGAGTCTCACTCTGTCGCCCAGGCTGGAGTGCAGTGGTGCAGTTTCGACTCACTGCAACCTCCACCTCCCGGGTTCAAGCAATTCTCTGCCTCAGCCTCCAGAGTAGCTGGGATTACAGGCGCCCAGCACCATACCCGCCTAATTTTTTATATTTTTAGTAGAGACGGGGTTTCACCATCCTGACCAGGCTGGGTTTAAACTCCTGAACTCGTGATCTACCCGCCTTGGCCTCCCAAAATTCTGGGATTATAGGCGTGAGCCACCTCGCCTGGCTTGACTGATTAAACAGAGGTAAGACCTGGTCAGATTTGCCTTTTAGAAAGACTATTTGTTCCCAAACTAAAACGCAAAATAAACAAATAAATAAGAAGAAAAGAAAAAAAGAAAGACTATTTGTTTGCCAGCTGTTGAACAGATTTTAGCCGGGCAGATGTGGAAGAAGGGAGACCAGTGAGGACACTCTAACTAGCCATATATTTGGGAGATGGTGGTGGCCAGGGTCAGGGTAGTAGTAGTAGTGGAAAGGGTTAGAAATAGTCGGATGCTGAATACATTTTTAGGATAGAGCCAAGGGGATTTCCTCAAGAATTGGATGAGACTTGTGAGAGAACTGTCAGGGATGGCTCCAAGATTTCTAACCTAAGCAACCAGGTATTGTCATTAACTGAAAGGGGGTATGAGATTAAACATGATTTCTCATGGGTCATTCTGGAGTTCCAATTTTATCTGTGGGATGGAATCTCAGGGTCCTTCTCTGAATTTGAGCTGCGTAGTTACGAGGTGGGGCGGTAGTAAGAAACTGCTGTTTGGGGTGAATTAGAAATCCCCACCCTTTCCTCCTTCCTCCTCCCCATTCTAGTCAGAAACATGGAGACTCACACAGATGAGAGACGAGACCGGGAAGACTGAGCATCCCAGGCCAGGCAGAACGAAGAAGCCCCAGAGACGCGAGAGCTGTTGGGGCCACTTCAATCCAAAGACTGCAAGGGAGTGGGCGGCGCCAAAGAGGGCGCACAGAAACTTTCTTGGGGATCTGGCAGCCTAGGTAACCACTTTTACCGGAAACAAAGTAACGTAAAGAGACGGGGTGGGGTGTGGTGGGGCCTGCCCCTGCCGGAAGAAGTTTGGGTGGAGCCCAGTATTCAAGCTTCAGGACAAAGGGGGAGGAGAGGCCGCCACTAGCAAACAACCTCACTTCATAAACCCAGCAGAAGGGTCCTGGGTGTTGTTGGAAAGGTCTGGGGTATTGCTGGAAAGGTCAGAAGGAACATGATTCTGTCCGCCCGCCTAAGTGGGACGAACAACCAAGAGGTGCGATGCGGCTTTAAAGGGGCTGATGATTGACAGAATGTGTAGCAGTGGATGGGGTGGAGTCGCTGGGTGGGGTCGGGACTGGCAGCTGAGAGAGACCAAAAAGGAGGAAAAAGGAAAATCATTGCCCTTGATATCGCTAATGCCGGGTGAGGGAAGCTAACCAGAAAGGAGGGAAAAGGAAGGTTTTAGAGCTCACCTCCACTCCTTCCTCTGGCTAACTCTTCACCCTCTTCTGTCTTCCCTCGAGATAATTAAAATAGACTGTACCCCGGCCTTAGTCGGTGCCCATTCCCCCTAAGTCTTCATTCAACTACGTTTGTAGTCCGAGGGAGTGAGGACCCCGGGTCCACCCGCTTAACCCCGGCCCCGCCCCGTCGGCCCTTGCCCCGGGGCTGGGAGGAGAGGATGCCTTCGGAGGCGCAGAATCCGAAAGTAAGTTCCTTTCATTTTGCTTTACCAACTGCCACCTCCCATTCCACCTTCCTTTTATCATCCCCACTGAGCGGCGAAATAGCCTCTGTCAAGGAAGACCTGGAGGGTGGAGCTGAGTGGGGTTGGATAAGAAGGGGAGGAGAGGGGAGGTGGTGCTTTAGAGCCTAGGGGAGCTGCCAAGGGCGGGAGAGGCGCGCTCAGTTCAATGGCTGTGTGGTTGGATCCTTGATTTCTCTTCCAGGTATTAGAGCCTCGACTCCCTCCCTCCTGGCATTCTTTATTTTTTTCACCCTGCAGCAACCCTATCCGGTTGTCTGAAGCCTCTAATTGTGAGCTGGGAGAGCTCCATCTTGCCTGGCTTTTTAAAGGGACAGTGCACTATTTAACTGGAAATTCAATTTGACCGGAAATTCCATTATGAGAAGGTGGCAGTGCCTCACCTTACTATAAAACTACGTGTATGTTGGAAGGAATTTGTGCGGCAGGGACAGCTTTTTCTTACTCAAACCAGCTTTCAAACTTGGTTCTAATATCCATTTGATTTTTAGGAGGTGTACCCTGGGCAATGTTGCCAAGTTACACATTAGTTAACTGCAGTCAGTTGACTGCAGTTTTAGGTCAAAAAGAAAATTTCCATTTCCTGAGAGGCGCCATGGCAGTGCAGGTAACTTGAATACATTCATTCATTCTACAAATATTTATTGAATGCTAGGTGCATTGCTTGTAGCTGATGCACATGTTGCTGGGAGGCGTGTATAAATGTCAAGGCCATGCTGAGTGTTGTCAATGACTCCCTTTTTAACTGATTAGTAGCTTTCCAAGGATATGGAGATAAATGTTGAATTTGATTCCAACATTTACCAAACATTTTTCACATGAATGGCTCAATGGTTCACTTTTATTGACTTCCATTCAGTACCAGATGTCCGTATGCTCAAAGCCAAGTGACTGGGAATTCCAGCTGGAAGAAATAAGAACTCAAGTCAAAATGGCATACGAAGAGGAAAGAGCACAAAACTTCAATAGAAAAGCTAATGCCACTCTGGCTTTATCCATGCCCAGCGAGGGAGATTGTTATGAGAAGGAGGGCTTCACTGTCTTTCCATCTACTGTTAAAGAATAGCTGGTGTGGCAGAAACTTGATAGAAAGGGTCTCTTATGGACCAGTGACATCTCTTATATATTTGTCTCTCTCATATTTCTGCACAGGGAGGGTGGCAGGACTGTGGATGGAGCCTGATGATATCCCACAGGTCAAAGAGATGAAAACGCATTGTTTGAGGTTTTAGGGCTAATATTTCACTGTGTAAGTTTTTGTTCGGTCAATTGAATGCCACAGTTCCCAGTGCTCTGCAATTTCCTTTGTTCTGAGCCCCTTCCTAGTTCTTATTCAGTGGTCCAGGGTAGTGAGCTGTGACAGAGAAAGGTATCGGCACAAAATTACATTGTGTTATTATATTCATTCATTCATTCATTCATTTGACAGTTACATACTAAGAATCACCACACAAGACTATGGGGAAAATATGCCCTCTTAGGGATTATATTCTAATGAGGAGGTGTGGGTGGAGGGGACAAAAAACAAACAATAAACATATACTTTGAGTGGGGATAAGACAGGAGAAAGGCTACAGGGCATGTTGAATTGGGGTGATATTAAAGACTATATCTGAATGAAGTGAGGGAGCCAGTCATGAGAATACCTGAGGGAGGGGTGTTCTAGACAGAGGAACTAGCAAGTGCAAAGGCATGATGGTGTGTTCGAAGAATAGTAAGAAGGTCAGTATCACTGGAGTGGAGAGGAGGAAGAGTAGCGGGATATATGGTCAGTGAGATAGAGGGGGCTAGATCATATAGGAACTTGTAAAGATTTTGGCTTTTATTCTGAATGAGACAGGAAGTCATTTGTAAAAAAAAGAAATCATCAACATCATTCTGTTTGAAATTCTATTGTACTAAAGAGAATGAATCTTGAATTATTTATCTTATACAATCAAGATGGATTACAGTATGTTTTTATATTTGGGATCTAATGTTCCTTTAAGAAAAGCTTGGTAAACTTATTGCTAACTTGTTCATGTCAATTAATACAATTTAATTTCATACTAACCATTGTTTTATAACATAATTATCTGAAGAAGATTTCAAATGCATTTTAAACTACCGTTGAGCATTGTACAACACAGGGGTTAGAGGTGCTGACCCCACACAGCTGAAAATCCATGTATAACTTTTGATTCCCCAGAACTTATCTACTAGTAGCCTACAGTTGACCAGAAGCCTTACTGATAATATAAACAGTTAATTAATATATATTTTGTATGTTATACATATTATATGTTGTGTTATTATAATAAAGTAAGCTAGAAAAAGGAAAATGTTAAGAAAATCATAAACAAGAGAAAATATATTTACTGTTCATTAAGTGGAAGTGGATCATCATAAAGGTCTTCATTCTTGCCATCTTCATGTTGAGTAGGTTGAGGAGGAGGAAGAGAAGGATGTGGTCTTGCTCTTTCAGGGGTGGGAGAGGTGGAAGAAAATCTATGTATTAGTGGACCCATGCAGTTCAAACCTGTGTTTTTCAAGGGTCAACTATACTTAAACACGGAAAGTCGCTTCAATGTACTTCAACAAAATATATTACAATAAATTATTAGCACTAGAAAAAGTCTCATCTGCTTTAAGAAAATGTCACAAGATTTTGTAGCGCTCTTTGTCATGAAATTGTGAAAATTATCTGCTTGGAAACCTTTTTTTAAACTTTCAGTCCTGCTGGCACACATGATTCCTTTTAAGTTATGCACTGTGTTTCCCCCAAGGCCTTCCCAGTGGGAGCTGAAAGTTTAAACACTTCATTAGTCTCAGGGAACTCAGAAGGAGAGAAGAGCAAGACGAAGGGAATTGAGAGAAAGAAGAAAAATGCCAAAGAATTCCAAAGAGAACAATGCAGTAAGAACAAGAACAAGTCACACAAACACAAAATTTTAGCTCCTCTGTTCCATACATTGAAAGTTCCACTCATTTCCGGCCTTGAAATTTCCACTTATTTTTGCAGCTCCCTTTTAGGGATAAGGTAGGTGTCCATGTTAGATGTGCACATAAAGGAAAACTTGTGGTTTAGGGTGGGCTTCCCCTAAAATAATTCTCAACCTTGGCCACACACTGGAATCAGTTGGGGATATTTTAAAAATACTGATAAACTTGTCCCTCCTCTGAGATACTGATGTAATTGCTTGAGGCACAGCTTGGAAGATGGATTTTTAAAGAGCTCCCTAGGTAATTCTGATGTGCAGTAAAAGTTGAGAACCATTAGCTTAGAGTGAGGTTCTCATAGTATGGTGCTTGGACCAACAGCATCAGCAACACCTGGGAACCTCTTAGAAATGCAAATTTTCAGGCCCCACCCCAGACGCATTGATTCAAAAACTCATACTGATTGTGATGAAACAATCAGTATCTTTTTTTCACAAGCCATCCAGGTGACTTGGATACACACTGAAGTTTTAGAACTACTGCCTTAGAAGTTAGATGTTCTCATTTAATTTTTCATTCCCAATACACCTAAGGAATATAATACACTCTATTAGTAACAGAGGCTTACTATGCCCTATTTGCAAAAGGTGGAAAAGGAATATGCCTGTTCCCATCCCATATCAGAATCCCCATTCCTATTCTCTACTGCAGAATATACAATCACTGTTTTAGAGTATATGGCTTTTTAAGTTTTATGCATTATTTTCTTTAATTTCAATACTCTGTATGTTTCATGCATCATTTCACTTTATCCTCACAATAATCTTGTGCAGTAGACACTATTATCATTGCTATTTTGTAGATGAGAAAACTGAGGCACAGGAAAGTACTTTACCGAAGGTCATACAGCTAGTAAGTGTAAGAGATCCATCCTATCTTGTACTTTCTAAGTTGTTTCATCAGTTGGCTTCCTTCTCTCTTATTTTCTTAAATGTCTTCTTCTTCTTTGATTTTCCCACTCATCCAACCCTATCCACCTAATATTGCTAACATATATTGAAGACCTACTTTGTACCAGGTCCTCTATTGGGCACTTTATAGGTATCAATGTATATAATGTTCACAACAGTGCTTTTAAGTAGATACTATTATTTTCCTCATTGTTCAGTTAAGGAACTTGGGGCACAGCAAAATCACGCAACTTGGCTAAGCTGACAGCTAGTAAGTGGCAGAGCTGAGATTTGAACCGAAGTCTACGAAGTCTATGCCTATTATGCCATACTGCCTAATCTTAAGCTTGCAAGCACATTTTTTCCCTTGTCTAAATATTTCTTTGACAGAACTCATTTAAATTTCCACTCCCTTTTTTTGTGCAGTTTCCATTTAAAGCATCACTGAAACTGCTCTTGCCAAAGTTAAAGATCTGTAATATTCAGTGCCCTTTCTTTAGATCTTCAGCCTACTTGACTCTCTACTACATTCAAGGCTGTTAGCCACTTTTATTTAACCTCTGCCTTGTCTTCCATGACAATACTCTTTCTTAAATTTCCACCTGCCTCTGACCATTTGTTCATTCTCTTCCCTTGCCACTCTATAATCCTATTTAGGTTATCTTGTCCACTTGAGTTTAACTGCCATTTATATGCTGATGACTGCCTGCATGACGGTCTGCATCTCCAGAGTGAATGTTTCTCCTGAGCCTAGATTATTCATTCATTAACTGGATATGTCAGTAGTGTACACTTAATATTTCTAAAACCCTTAATATGTCATTAAACCCTTCACTCCCATTTTGATCTTGTGATTGACAGGGACCTAGTCAACCAAGCTATAAAGCCTACAGTCATCTATGACTCTTCCTTTTTATTTACCTTCTAGATTTTTCTTCTTGAAACTTTATATCCTCTCTATCCGAACTTGCATTGTCTTTGCTTATTTTTTCATTATATGTGACCTAGCTTATTATAATTGCTCCTTTATTGTTCTCTCTGCCTCTAATCTGTATATCCTTTGCTGTGAGTTGA